ACAGAGTCTTCTGCCGGAAAGCCAGTGCGGCTTTCGCCGTCATTCTGGGACTATGGACATGATCTTCGATGCCCGCCAACTATATCAGAAGTGCCAGGAGATGCGGACCCACCTGTACTCTACCTTCTGGATCTGAAAAAAAACCCTTCGACACGGTGAATCGTGAAGTGCTGTGGAAAATCATGCAGAAGTTCGGTTGCTCAGAGAGATTCACTCAGATCATGCGTCAGCCCCATGATGGCATGATGGCGCGAGTCACGGATAACGAAGCTGTCTCAGAGGCATCCAAAGTGACCAAAGGAGTGACGCAGGACTGCATCCTGGCGCCCACCCTCTTCAGTCTTATCTTCGCTGCCATGCTGATGGACGCCTACCGTGACGAACGTCCTGGTATCCGCGTCGCCTACAGGACGGAAGGTCAACTCCCCCATCACCGGCGGACGCACTTCCAGATGCGTGAATCCCCAACTCCGTCCACGAATTTCTCTTCGCGGACGACTGCACCCTCGACACGACCTCGGCAGAGGAGATGCAACGGAGCATCTATCTCTTCTCCGCCGCCGCCTTCGAGAACTTCGATCTCGTAATAAACAGGGAGAAGACGGTGGTTATGCATCAACCAACACCGAAGCCGCCTATGTGGTCTCGAAACACCTCTGCACACCCACTACGCCTTGCCAAGCCCACAGCCCACCGCCCAGCACCGCTCAGCACTAGCAGCTCCGACACTGTCGCCGCTGTCCTTTCCTGTCCACACGGTCTCTGCACGTTCACCTCACACATCGGCCTAGTCGGTCACTTGGACATTCATCGAAAAGAGACTAAGGAGCCAGTGGCTGGAGTACCAACCTACGCCCGACGCATCTGCCTCATCTGCTCTCACTGCACCCGTACATCCACCCACCGCACTGGCCTATTAGGCCACATGCGCATTCACGAAACCATGCGGTAGATAACCGTCGGCTATATCACACCATTACATCTTCCCTCGCCTGTAACACACAAAATCATCACCACGAAAGTGGGAAGTGTGCATAGCGGCTCCGTCTCCATGCGGTTCTTCTGCTGCATGTGCGATTGGAGTCAGAGACTATCACGATGAGTCAGGCGCCGAAGGTTGCCCACTGATGGGATAACATGGATCTCGCAGTCGGCCCAGTGTTGTGTGGATTGAAAGACTGGTGGTCTAAGAGACAGGTTGCAATGGCTCCTTCGCCGTGCGATCCGAGCCAGGTGTGACCTCACGCCTAGGGGCGGTTTCGGCAGCGCCAGCCACTCTCTTATTGTTGATTAAAATCTCGGTCATTTGCTATGTGAACCAGGGGGTGTGGAGCGGCCTTCTTGACTCTGTCTTGACACCGGACCCAGGTGGGGGAGGTGCAGAGGGTGAGGTAAGTGCGGCACAAGTATGCATTCAATCTAAACCCAATCACGCGTAAATCATCGCCCTGCTTCAACTTGCTATGGAGCACACGGTCGATATCGTCGGCAACGACGGTCGAACTATCGCCTGTTCCTAGACGTGCCGACCGTTAAGCTACTGTGCACTAATCGCGAAGGCTGCTCGAAATGTGGAAACTTGACCGCCGCATTACCTCCTGGACAGGTGAGGCGCCGATTAGCTCAGGTCAGACACGAATGCAGTGGCCTAACTTGCCCACAATAACCACCACCACCACCACCACTACCACCACCACCACCACCA